GGAGGAGTCAGAACGGATTAACCGTATTTACATTGAACCTTATGGGGAAATTTGATTCGGGTCGCGGAACGAATTAAGTTCGTGAACTGAGGTACCACTGTATAACCATTAAATAATCAGGCTATGAACCAATGGCTTTGCACTTCCAGGAGTCAAAAACCAGTGGATCTGCCACACATTTGAATTAGAAATTGCCTTTTCAAAAACCATTCCTCATGGATGCCTTATTATGAGGGTATTGGCCATCAGAACCCCCAGGTCCCTGACCAACAAGTGGGAAAACAAAATGTGTTTGTCCAAAAGGTCAAAAACAGCTAAAAAATCTAGATGATTACCTGGAAATAAAAGGGTTGTGTGTATGTGTAGGTAATTGAGAGGCAAGATGATAGTATACAAAATAGTAGTCTCTATCTTGTCCATGTTCAATTTTAGATGATATATTGACATTCAAACCAAGGTGCAAACAAGGCAGTCAAAGAAAGAATTCCATACTGTGTTACCTAAAACAGGAATAGTGCAAAATAATGAAAAAAATAAAACAATTTCCCGGGGCATCCCTCTTCTTCATTGGCATTGCCATGGATCCTGCCAAGGTTGATGTTGTCTTAACCTAGCAGCCCCCAGGCAAGGTCAAATATGTACAACACTAGCTTGGAATCACAAATTATTATTGGTCATTTATTCAGCAGTTTGCCAAAGTAACAGCATCATTAACCAACCTCCTGCACAAGAAGGTGCTGTTCCTGTGGGGTGAGAGCTTTCAGGCTTTAGATGCCTCCATCCTTCGTCATCAAGACTCAGCATGGTGTTTTGTAGTAGAAATTGATTGGCCGCAATGTAGCCCTGGGAGTAGTGTTGCTCCAGGTTGTAGTGAAACAAGGGAATGGCTTTGAGGGACAGGAGGAAGAGCTACTACCAAGACAACAGTCAGATAAAAGAAACCTGAGTCTTGGGCAGAAATGTAACCTGGGAAAACATCTCAAATAAGAATTTTATATTTAACCCTTGGTTTCTTCCCCTGCCATATAAATCTCAATATATTATTTTGCCATTGCTTAAATGGTACATTATTTCTCAAAACCAGTATTGTTTGAAATAAAACATAATTTTAGGTAGTATATTAATTTTTACCACAGAAATTCTTGCCAACAGTGATAATTGTAACTTTTCCTATTTTAACATATCTTTCTTAATTTCATTCCATCCTTTAACATAATTGTTTTGAAATAACAAAGAGTTCATATTAATCATGGTAATATCTAGATATTTTACTTTTTTCTCAATCTGAAAACCAGTTTTTACAATAAATTCTTTTTGATCTTCCATCCTTAAATTTTTTTGTTAACATCTTCGTTTTCTCATTATTAATTTTAAATCCAACAAATGCACCAAATTCCTTTAGTTTTTCCCATTAATATTTCTCTTCCTTCCATAGGATTTTCCAAAATTAAAACCAAGTCATCAGCAAATGCCCTTAATTTATATACTTGTTTTTTCACCTTCACTCCAGCTATTCTCTCATCATGTCTCCCTGTTCAGAACTTCAAGGGTGAGAATGAATAACAGTGGTGAAAGTGGGCATCCTTGCCTTGTTCTTTTCTGTATTTCACAGGGTTTAGTCAGTTCTTCATTAACTATAATTTGTGCCCTTTGCAAAGTATATTTTGATTTTACCCATGTAATAAAATTTTCTCCAAAATCTTCCAAAATTTTAAATAGAAAAGTCCAGTTCAAGTTATCAGATGCTTTCACCGCATCAAGGAATATTCACGCAGCTTGTTTTTCATTAAGCTGCTCAAGACTGTCTAATATTTTAAGAACGTTATCTCTTAGTTGCATTTTAGGCAAAAAGCCACATTGATCTTCATGAATAAAGTCTTACAAGACATTTTTCATCCTTTCAGCTAAGATCATTGTAAATATTGTTTAATAAAGATATTGGTCAGTAATTTTTCGGTAAGGTCAGGTCTTGGCCTTCTTTAGGAATTAATGCTATATTTGTACCTGTCCAACTATCCGCTATCCTTCCATTATCTAGAATAGAATTCATAATTTTCTAAAGAGGTTGTAACAATTCATCTTTGAAATGTTTATAATAGAAGGCCGGCAATCCATCTGGCCAGGAGCTTTCCCAGCTTTAGTCTTTTTTATAGCCGCAGACTTCCCTTATTGTTATAGGTCCATCACTTTTGTTTATCCATTACCTTTGATAAAATTTGTCTTTAAATATTCTTCCACTTTTGTCAGGTAGATTACTTCTCCTTTATATAGTTTCATATAGTACTGATTAAATATTCTTTGCATACTTGCATTGTCTGTTACCGTAGTTTTCCCATTTTGTATTTTTAATATTTTCTTCTCACTTTCTTTTCTCAGTTTATATGCCAACTCTTTCCCCGGCTTATTTGCTAACTCAAAGTTCTTCTATTTTGCAAAGTTCATTTTTATTTCAATTTCTCTCATCATTAACATAGAAAGCTGGTGTACTAAACGTTTAATTTGCTTTGACACATTTTTCCTTTCTGGAGATCTCCTTAGTTTCTCTTTTCTCAGCATCTTCTCTTTCATCTTTATCTCCATTAAAATCTTTTACATCTTCTTTTGCCTTTGTCTTTTCAGTTTACTGTTTTCTTGTATTAATTGCCCTCTCATAAAGGTTTTGCTAGCATCCCATACTGTCCTTACGTCAATGTCTTTAAGATTATTCTCAAAACAAATCTTTCCATTTCTTTTTATAGCTTTCCATTATTGATTCCTTTTGTAACAAAGTTTCATTTAGCCTCCATCTATAAGTTCCAACTCTCCTCTTATATGGTAAAGTCACTGGGTTATGATTTGAAAAAGTCTTTGGCAGTATCTCCACTTTATTAACACATGTAACAAGATATTTAGAAATCCAAAACATATCTATTCTTGAGAAAGATCTGTGTCTCTCAGAAAAATAAGTATATTCTTTAGAGTCACCATTTTTATTATCTGTAAGTTCAAAATTATCCATCATTTCAAAAAACATTTTCAGTAATTTGCCTTGCATTGTTTTAATTACCAATAGAAGAGAATATACAGTATGTAGCTCAGAGTTGAACTGTTGAGTCCTTGGTGCTCTCTAAGCTTGGTTGTTTGCTTGCTGATGTTTGCTTGCAAAGGTAACATCATCAGTGCTAGTGAGTGTGGGGTTTGCTCCTGTTATATAAACAGTAGCTTGCCCTGCCATGTTGGTGGAGGTGTGGTTTTTCTCCTTGGTAGTTCCTTGATTAGGGTATTGTTTTCTGCTTGATTTTTTTCCCCGCTTGATTGTTTGTCTCCTTGGTAGTTTCTTGATTAGAGTATTGTTTTCCTCTTGATTGTTGTCTGGTGTTAATCCCTGCTTATCTGGGTGCTTGCTGCTGGAGAGGATGTGTTCTGGTCTTTTTGTTTCCTTCTTAGCTTTCTTATCTCTATGTGTCTATTGGCTAGTGTGTCTGAGTGCCAAGCTTCAGGAATTCCCTAGCATTTTTGGATTTAGCTTGGTCTAGGAGGCTCACAGTTTCCCAATCGAAAGTATGGTTGAGTCTATCCATGTGCTGTGAGATTAAGGAGTTCCCCAATTAAATCTCTGATGTAATCCCAGGCAAGTGCAAATTGAGGCACTTGTAGTATAGTTTCCAAATCATGGGAAGTAGTAGTTCTTCATTATGCATTGTGAAGACCCATGTTGACTACTGTGGCCTGTTTTGCATAGCAGAATTAAAGAAGGACTCAGAGAAACTAGAATAATTTCAAAGAAGAGCAGTGGGGATGTTCACGGGATTAGAAATGGAGTTCTGTGAAGGAATTAAAGGAATTGGGTATATTTAGCCTCATGAAAAACAGATGAGAAAGATATGATATCTTCAGTACCTCAAGTGATGTTACATAGACAGTAAATTCTCCATCACTCCAGAATGCAGCACACTTATATCCATTAAGACATTCCAGCTGAATGTAACAGGGGGGGAAAAAACTACTCAGGAGTAAGAGCAACTTGACAGTAGAACCAATTACTCAGAGGGGTGGTGGGGTCCCTTCATTGGATGTATTATAGGAGAGGTTAAGGAAGCCTTTTATCTGAGATACTTTTATTTGGGTTTTACCCTGCCCAGGGGACTGGCCTAAATGGTTCTTTCCAGCTCTATGATTCTATCACCTTCTTATCAACTAAAGGTATTAAAAAGTTATTTTCTTCAACTGATATTTCTTCAACAATCAGCTTAGCAAATCTGCTAATTAAAATAACAATATTCCTTCCCCATTTATATTTACTGGTTAGATACATCTCTCTCTCCTATACTTTCTATAAAAACTGTTTGTCTGGAAGAATATGAGTCTCTTATAAAAATGTAGAGTGTTTTTAACTTGGCTAGGATCCTGGGTCAGATGTAATTCTAAACAAATTACAGATTGTCTACTTTGTTACTCTTGATGGCAAGAGTAGCCTATGTGTTAACACTTTGGCAATGTGTATGAACATACTTACTTTTGGTTCTTCTACAGTATGGTAAAAATTATTTGAGACCACTTTAAAACTTCTGTTTTTACCTAGGGTATCTTTAACCAATTCCAGTGCAGCAATGACAAAGTGCTACCTTCTGATGCTCTTCGTAGTGCTCTTGCAAAGACCTTTCAAGATGAGCAGCGTTTCCAGTTGGGCATTATGGATGATGCTGCAGAATGCTTTGTGAGTATGAAAGTTATGGAAAGTTGATTAACCCTCAAAAAGAATTCCTCATCTTGCTAAATCAGTAAAAGCAGATGTCAGGGCTGAGGGTAATGGAGGGTCCCCAGATTAAGAACAATCTTTGCACTACTCAGGAAGACAGCAGTGCTTCCAAGGGCTTCCAACAGATGAAAGGAGATGGGTTACAGAGAGCTAGATCATAATTGCATAAAGGAAATCATAGGAAGAGGGGCCAATGGACTGAAAGTTTGACTGGATATAACAGCACAACTTTATTGCAACAATGACCAAAATTCAACAAATCGAAAACAAAGTGAATATGACTGGACACATACACACATATGGCTTTCTTCACTATTGGCCAACAGAATTGGTCAGCTGTCTTATAGGGCTACCATTCCTGATTAGAATAAAGCTTACTTTGGGACTGTGTCTGTTACACAATACACACACACACACAATATTATATGAAGTGTCTGAGCATAGATAGTGAAGATCCTACCAAAAAAGCCAGCAGCATGCTGATAGTTTTCTAATGACTTTCTGTGCTTCAAAAAGCATTGGACCAATTTGTGGAAGTTAGTTCGTTAGCCTCAATGGCAATATGACTGCCTCTGAAGGTCAGCTGTTGGGAGACCAGTAGGCTTCCTTGTGCAGTTGGTTGGCCACTGTGAGAGCAGGCTGCTGGATTAGATAGGCCAAGGGATCCGATCCAGCAGGACACTACTTATGTTCTTATATTTTCCTCCCTTTCTATTGATTCTGTTCTTCTGTAATTGGATTCTTCAACTGCAGTATTTCAGTCAAGAGAATCATTCCATCCAGGGTTGTTTTTTTTTTTTATACCTATTAACTGATTTTCAGTTTCCTATGCAAGATATTCAACCTCATTTTGCTTATTTCTCATATTCTGAGCGTTTTATCACTTCATAATATGAGTCTGTACTTGCAATACAGGTAGTCCTCAAATTACAACCATTTGTTCAGTGACCATTTAACGGCGCTGAACAAATGGTGGTTATGACCAGTCCTCGGAGTTCCGGCTGTCCTAGCACCCCCATGGTCACGTGATCGCGATCTGGGTGCTTGGCTGCCAGCTTGCACTTATGGCTGGTTGCAGCATCCCATAATCACGTGATTTCCATTTGCAACCTTCCCTGCCAGCTTCCCCAGAAACTGGGGAAGGTTGCAAATTGCTGGGGTAAATCTCCCATACCCGTGCACCCACATACCCTCCCCCCAGACCCCTCTGCGCTTGTGCTGCACCGGCTACTTGTGCACCCCCGCGCACACTCCCCGAGCCTCACTGCCCCTCACTCGCACACTCTCACGCACCCTTGTGCACCCTCCCCAACCCTTGCTGTACCTCCCATGCACCCTCGCACACACCCCAACCCTCGCCATGCATCCCTCAGGCACTGTCAGGTTCAGCCCAAAGAACTGCAAGAGACAATGCAAATACAGTTCTGTTGTGTTTATTAGCTACAACCTCCAGACAGAAAAT